AGTTTGTTTTTAAAAACCAGGGGAGGAACTCGGGATCAGGTTTTGCTTTTTCTATGGAATATTGATTCTGGTGGATACCCCAAAATATTGATCCTTATAGCATAGCTCTCAGGAAGCCAATTTATGATACAAGCAATTATTTATTCCGCATTCGCCCACCTACAAGTCAAAGCACTAAAATATGTTGCTGATTTTGTGAGCTCGCAGATCTTTATTAATAAGAAACCAGTTCTGTCTTCATAATAATGATTTAAAATAGTTGAAATCAACAATTCACACATTTCACATTGAAACAGGCACAGTTCAGTATGCAACAATTCTATTGTGTAAATCAACGTCATTCATCTTTGCGTAGCAAGGACATTCTTTCGTCACGTTCAGAGGAAGACCGGGGCTGAGAAGTGTCTGTCTGTCTGCTTATTTGTCTTTCTCGCTCGCCTGCGCGCTATCTCGCTTGTCTATAATAATCGTGACCATAGTGTGTGCAGGTTTATACCAATCGATATGTAGCCCCTCGCCTCAAATGTTTAGGCGTCTCTATATTTCCCCAAGGCCGTACAATTAGAACGTGTTGCCCAACATCCTCACCCGCTGGGAACAACAAAAAGGGGTATATGCACTAACAACCGCCATTGCCATGCCTCAACAGAGATATTACCGGTTCTCCAAGGAAGCCCGTTTTGAAGCAAGTCCGTCAGCCTTTACTTGCTTCATGCCGTGGCTTCGGCTTGCGCAACTAGCTTGGCTCGCCAGTCGTTGCACATCTCCTCGAACCCACTGACAACATCTCGGCAGACGTCAGCACATTCCCTCTTTTCGAGCCGCTCGCCCCAGTTTCCCTTGGTGAGCCACCTTTCACCCTCCTCCCTCAGCTCCTCTTCGCGCTTCATCTCTGCCACCATGTCCTTGGCAGACTTGAGCCTCCTCGTCGCCGTCGTCGTTGTCTGGCGGGACATGTGCAGGGTGTCTGAAAGGTAGTTTAGGGTCTGGACCAGGTCCGATGTGAGCGTCTGGAGGGCTGCTAGGGAGTTGTATGCCGCGGTTGCCGGACGAGGCATGTCGTCTGACAGGGAGACTAATAGGGGCAATAGTTCATCTATGGTGTCCGCGTCCGGGGGCATCACCAAAGGCGACAGAAGCGGGAATGTGAGGTTGTGTAGTTGGCGAGTCTGGTGCGCCAGATGGGTTGCCAACGCAGAGTGAGCAGTAATCAACCTTGTTGTGCTGCCCTCGACGCTGGCCTGTGATCCCAGGTCGCGCAGACCCTCTGTTACCCGGTGAAAGACCTTGTCGGCTGGCCCGCCATCTGTTCCCCTCCTTGCGAGGGATTCAACGGCGTCCATCCTGGCTACTAAGCTGGGCGGCATGCCGGCAGTCTCCAGATCGGATTCCGAACCATATTCGCTTCCGTCATACGCGCTGCCTTGCCTGCGGTGGCTCTTTGGATTTGGCGGTGGGCTCAACTCTAGTTTCTTGTTTCTTGCTGGTAATTGCTTGTGTTCTTCGACGTCCACACCGCTGTCCCTGATTTCCTCGGCACGGTCCTTTGGCGACTCGAGGGCGCCGTCGGATAGTTGCTCGCCTTCTCCTTCCTCGTAGTATCCATCGTCGTCTTCGTCGCCCGAGAGGGCATCGGCCAGCTCGTCTGCCAGATTGCCGAGGCCGTTGTCACCGCCGTCAAAGTTTGCGGCGCTGAATGTGCTGATGTCTTGGTCGTTCATGTTGGGCGACGGGGCCATGAGATCTTGAAAGGAGGATTTGGAGGTGCGGCGTCTACTGGCGGTGGGCGAACCAGCAAAGGAGGACTGCCTCGAGTGCCGCGGTGTTTGCGGCGAGGAGGTCATTGCGATCGATGGGATGATTTTAAATGGAGAGAAATCTGGGTGGTCCGTTCGGTATTTGGTTGCTACCGTAATTAGAGAGAGAGGCTATGGCTGTGACGCGTGCGGTGAGATGTGCACGCCAGCATAAATTTCGGGGGCTCCTGGAGTAGGTATTTCGGCACTGGCGGCCAAAGATTTTGGAGAGAAGGCGGGAATTACGGCGTCGTCGAAGAAGGGCTGACGGAGAAAATGGGCTGGCTACGTAGTGATGGTGCTTTGTCTCTTGGTTTTATGTTTCGAGGCGTGCTCGGCGTGGTGTCTTGGGGTTGTTTACTGGACCGGAGACTCGGTGTTGACGCTAACTAGGAAGACTGGTCGACGCTTTGTTGTATATTTACTTTTTTTTTTGTCTTGCACCTCGACGTGGTGACAAGTCGCTGCTCAGGGTGGAGATGCTTGGAAAATGGAGCCAGGGAGGACCTGTTGACGATGGGCTATACGTATATCAGATGTGCTTGGATCTATAATATAAATAAGGAGCTGCGCATGGGGCAGCAAGTGAGTAATGTGTGTCGGCCGGGTTGAATCCAAGCCAGCAACAACGAAATGATGCAAATCAATCACATGCGTTCCTTTGTCTCGACTGAAGACGACAAGGGGAGGTGCCGGTAAGTAGTAGTGGTTCGTATCGTGGATGTGATGAATCCAACGCGTTCGTCCAAGGGAGAAAAAGTCATCAGGTAGTTACAGTCGACGAGAACACGGAGACCGAACCAGGCCCTGGGAACGGGAAACGAGGACCTCTTGACTCGCGGGTCCTGACGATCGCATTTGCTATCAACCCGAAGTTGGCGATGGTGGGCGCGCCCGTTCCTGGTGCCGGTCGTGTTGACTTTTGGCTGCTGCTTGGGGGGCCTTGAGCGCGTATGTTGGCGTTCAGGGGTCTACATTAAGGTACCACCTATCGAGTTAGGTACTTTATTTAGCGACTGGCCGGCATCACTGAACGGAAATTTTTTGGCTCCTCGCTACCTAAACTTCAGGGCGTAGCGGGGACCAAATGCGCAAGTGACACCTGGGCTTTGCATTCGAGGTGCGTTTCTTAGCTTACTTTTTGGTTCGGGTATCTGGTGTGCATATTTATTTTATGCTAGATGGGAACGTGGCATATTCTGTGCCAAAGAGTGGGCAGTTGCACATGTGCCATAGGTGGGGCAGGTGCATCCGACGACGTCCACACCAAAACTTCAACACCAAGATCTCCAGTTCTGATTCGGCCCAAGGCTGTCTGCGCTTGTCTTCATATTGTGTCGATCTCGACAGTCTCTCTTTCAAGTCCTACAGATACATTCACTTGTATATTTGATCGGACTTGATTGGCCACAGAATAAAGGCTTTCTTCCTCTTCCTCGGCCTGGATCACGAACCCAACCTTTTCTATGATCACTAGGGTCTGATTGTGCTCACTCCAACATACTGAGACAAGAACGGTTTTCTCCAACCAGGGCAAGCCATCCATACACTAGAGCTTGGTACTACTAGCCTGCCAGGGATTCAAGCAGAATTCTGGAAGCTTGTATCAAACCTCTTTTATTGGTCGCAGGACTTTTGTTCCTTTTCCACCGAGCATCGAATAGATCACTTTCAAAGGTCTCATTCCCAATTTTGGACACATATTGGGATTCGTGATAAGTCAGCCTCCGGAGATTTCAGTTCATCGCCGTCAACCGGTCTTCAAATTTCTATAAAGTCGGGAATTGGCTCCTCGACCGTCGACATAAACAGGTTGTGACTGAGACTGAACATATTCATCTTCTTTCATATCTCCTACAGCACACAATTTGCAGCCAGCAGAGAAACAAAGTCATCATGGCGGTCAGCTTCCGTCGCTTCGAGCCTCAAGATCTCAACAGGATATCCTTGTGCAACTTAGATCCTCTCACTGAGACCTATGACATTTCCTTCTATCTTCAGTACTACGCAAAATGGCCACAAATGTTCATCGTTGCCGAAGACAGTCGGGGTAACATTGTTGCATATAGTAAGTCTCAGCTTTACACCGCAGAGGAACACATTCCGATGTGACTGAAGGCACCGAGAATACATGGCTAACATGAATCTTCTCCAGTCATGGGGAAGCTCGAGTCTTCGCCGTCGTGGATGACGGGCTCGCCGCACTTCCTGCCGTGGCACGCGCACATCACGGCGCTGACCGTGTCGCCGGCGTACCGGCGCACGGGCATCGGCAGCATCCTGACGGAGCGGCTGGAGCAGGAGGGCGACGTCGGCAAGGGCTGGTTCATGGACCTGTTCGTGCGTCGCAGCAACAAGCGCGCCATCGACTTCTACAAGCGCAACGGCTACAGCGTCTACCGCGTCGTCAAGGACTACTACGGCGACAACGTCTCGGACCCCACCGCCTCGGGCGAGGACGCCTTTGACATGCGCAAGTCCATGAAGCGAGACACCGCCGGCGAGCACGTCCGCGAGGACGGCGAGAAGTTCGAGGTCGATCCCGAGGATGTCTTTTAGTGGCTTAGGCTCTGTTTTCCTCCTCAGCAGAGGAAATACGACAGATCCAAGCGGAGGAGTGGTTTGAGAGAAAGGAACAAGCCACAGATCATGTCGCCCGCTTCAAGAGATATACAACATCAACATAATCAGGCCGTTCACCGTTTCGGGAAAATTTTGATACCACGAGTAGCGGAACAGATGAGTCCCTTGCGATGCAAACAAGAGACTCTGGGAATCTCCAGTAGAGCAAGACAAGCTTAGACTAAAAGTTGTGATGCGTATAACCAAAATTAAAGAGAAGATATGAATAGCCCTGGACCGCCCTAAGCGTTGCACCCTTGATTACTTACGCATTCCCAAGTGCATCTGCTGTGATCATGTGTATATCCATCAGGATATGATTATTGCTGACCAGAATAGCTCGTTGACGCAAGCACTTCTGCATACAGAGAAAAAAAAACACCTTTCCGTAGAGTCATATACAAAAAGTCCAAAAGCCAAAGAAATCGAAACACGGGGCTCAACTGGCACCGAATCAACCATACATACCTACAGACGTAGCAGCCCTGGGGGAAAAAACAGCGCACAGCCTCAGAATATTTCCAGGACCATCAACGGCACAAAATAAAAGACAGCGAAAGTGCAAAAAAATCAAAAAAGAAGAGGTCCGAACGTGGATCGAACACGTGACCTTAGGATAACTTGCTATTTGAAGCTGCAATCCCACGCTATACCACTTAGCTACCGAACCATTGTTGAAAGGATGCTCGTTATAATTGATAACGACATGTGTGTGTGGGTGGGGGAGAGCGAGGGGGGTGGTGTGGTGTAGTGGTGATGGAGTCCACCCACTAGTGGGTCTTTCTCTAGCGGTACCTACCTCCCTTGCAAAGCGGGTAACAAAAAAAGTCAGATTCCGCATATACTGAAATATGTTGCTAATACTGTACTTTTACACACAAACGTCTTGATTATACTATATTAACTAATTTTTCTTGTTCTCAGTAAAATTTCGTTTTCTATTATATAAATTTTGTCCCAACATTAGTTATAGGGATTGGATGATATACTATAATAAAGTACAAATATTATCCTTACTTTTGTTTTATTTTGAACTCGCCCGCCTAGCTTGAGAAGAAAACAACTTGATGTAATTTCAATATCTGACTTGGCCTTTTCAAGCTTGTTATACCAATTGTTTTATTTGCATAGCATCGTCTGCTCAAGAGGCGGCCAGCAGTAGGCTGTGCCGGAATACAGACGTATGATGTGCATAACATAAGCAGATAGCTCGAGTGTTGCACTGCGACAAAGAGTGGACAGGTCACAGGACATTGTCAGCTTTGATATTCCTTATCAACGTCCTGAAAAACTTTCTGGTAATAATACCTAATATCTGACACGGAAGTATTTTGTGTATACGAGGCAAACAGCTCGACACCCACAGAGACTTTTGGGCACAGGTTGCGACTTAGGTAGTCACGCAAGATGCACAGCGTAGTTCAATTCTTTCTATCAATATGTGTGGATTCTATTGAGCCTTGGATGGCCTTGTGTCATTGTCCTTGCCTCAACGGCCCTCCTACAGCTCGAAAGGGCTATCGTGTACATCACCTTCAAGAATCTCGGCCTTGAGAACGGATGTCACATCAATGTGGGCTGGTTTGCGCTGATCCAGGAAGCTCAGACTGTCAGCGGCCTTACCGCCACAAGCCCGCTCGAGTGCGAGGAACGCAAAGTGGCCACCGACGACAGGCCGCGCCTTGAATTGAACACCAGGGTAGTCACTTGTCTCAGTATCGTAAAGATCTGTAAAGGGCAGAGCTATATACAATGATCAGTGATTGGCCTGCGTATGACTTGTGAAGAACTTTTGCTTACCTGTCACAGTCTCGTTTACCCATCGAGCGACATTTGTCAAAATTGTTGACCGCGTATCCTTGCTAGTGACTGCCGCGGCAAAGAACTCCCAATCGCTCTTGGTCTGTAGACTACGTTGGTCCAGAGGAAGTCCGTACTGTTGTACCACGTTGTAGTACCAGTCACTCTGAATCTGGTAGATCCTGTCTGGAATGAAAGTTGATCTCGAAGAGTGACCAGAGTCGCCGTCCAATGGATCTTGGCCTTGGTTCCAGAATCTGCTATTGCCCAAGGTGGACTTTTTCTCGGGAACGTGGAAGCACAGGAGAGCATCGGCGTACAGGTTGTAGATGGTGGTCCAAGAACCCTGCCACGTGTAGGACAACTTGGCGTGCGTCCCGTCTCTGGAGATACCATATCCTTGCCACTTGTCAATGTAGTCCTCGGCAATGCGCTTGTACTCTTTGGCTTCTTGGTCATTCCCGACCAGAGCTGCGAGGTCAGCCATGGCTCGAATGCCAACGATACCCTTGAGAGCCAAGTTCGTCTGGTTAGCCAACCAGCCAGCGAAATCGTCTGTGCAAAGTTGGTTGGCCGGGATGAGTGATTCTCGGACAAGGTAGCCATTCCATCTCTTCCACAAGGTGTACGATCTCGATACCCATCTGACGGCAGTCTTGCTGCCCGTCGTGCCCAAATCTTCAAAGGTCTTGTCCATACCGTACTGGTCTACGGAAGTAAATTTTTTCAATACCGCGGCGTCGATGCTCTGCGTAGAAAGTGGTGTCTCACGGCTAAATGCCGGTTGCGAGCCATCCTTCAGCGCGTTTGCCAGAGCCAGAGCCATAATCAGCATGTTGCCACACTCTTCTACAGGCATGTACTCGTCATTACCGTCGTTATGACCGGTTGCATTGGGGAAATGGGTTCCTAGGTCATGCATGCTGTAGGCGTTTGGATACTGCCCGCTCAGCTGATGCTCCAGCAGCGGCTCCAACAGGTAAGCCAACCATTGCGGGTTGGTATACAAGAAGAAGGGGAAGGCAGGGAAGATGACATCGACAGTCTGGAAGTTTCCATTCGACGAAATCTCCTTGAGGAAAAGAATTGGGTTGTCGGGGGTGCCTGACCATTGAGTAGCACCAAAGACTTGACGAGCGGAAAGCTCAGCAATGTCCTTGTACTCGGACGAGCCAGATGCATACGCATCCTTGGCTAGCTGTGCCGAGTAGTCATTTGCCAAATTGATGGCGGTCGGGAAGTCGTCGTAGTGGAACTGCAGCATCTCCTCGGCTGTGAAGAAGTATGATGCCCAAAGAGGCCGCATTTGCGTGAGGCCCCTCGCTGACGCATACTGTACCACAGGATCTTGAATCAGTGAGAAGGTGAATAATGCGCTATCGACCGTGACATTATGACTCAGATCGAAGTGCTTGGAGAAAGCAAATATAGGCTCATTGTCAAACATTCTGCGTGGAGACGGTTCGCTGGCATTCGACAGGTGGCCGTGCTTGGCAAACTGGCGACACACCGAGTGAATCTCTCCAGCTTGGTGCTCAGCATCAGCAGGGCCAGAAAAGTAGAGAGTTCCCCATTTCGCCTGGTCATCGTGTTCTGTGAGAAGCTGCTGGTGCAGGCGGGAGATTTTCCACGACTTGATGGAGCTCGCAGACTTTTGGGATGACTTGGCCTCCTGCAGGTCCCAAGCCACTTCATTGTTGCGGTCTCCGCTGATCCATTCGCCATTGATGTCTACGAACATACTAATGTTCAGGTTTCCCTCAACAACAAAATTCATGTAAGACGCGGGCAGCGCCTGGCGAAAGGTAGAGGTCGGCGTGATCGGCGAAGTGAAGGACAGAGTGATCTTGACGGACTTGCCAGCAGCCTCTGAGCTTGCGATCGTATAGGTGAGGTTCGTAGTTGAAGCATCAAAGACGGCTCCATCGTATGTAGGGTATCCAATGGTGTAATCACTGCACAGAAGGGAATGTGAGAACGCGGAAAGCATATTGCGATCTCAAGGGAGGACCATACCTGCTGTCTCTTTTCAAAAAGGCGTGCGGCTGCCCGAGCAGAGGATATACAGTGTTCGTCTCGGGCACAGATGCCAGTATACCAAAGCCAAACGTCTTGCCCGTCCAAAACATGGGCCAGTGGGCCCAAGGTTCGTGGCGGGCATTGGCGAGCCAGACATTCAAGTAAGGGTTTCTCACGGCTAGAGGCAAGACGGGCGGCGTCAGGGTCGAGGCCTCAACGGGGAACACAGATCCCAGGGCCGCCAGGGCCGCCGACCAGATGTGTAACTTCATGGCCAGCCCGGGTCGTCGGAGCAAAATTCGGATGTGCGGGCGGGCGGGACGGAAACTGATGATAGCTCACGGGTTGGGTTCAGAGTCAAGGATAAATTCTAGGTAAATAAGCAAGAAAGGGCTCTTGATTCAACCAGGAACCTCGTGCGCGTGCTGAGCGAAGCTCCAAGATGAGTAAATGGAGGAGGGGGGGAGAGAAGCAGAAGAACTGGATGGTAAGCAGCATGTGCCAGTCAGTCAGTCAGACCAGACAGAAGAAGGTGGACGATGCCCAGCTTCCTTAGAGGCCATGGGATCAGCTCGGCCAGGCCCATCGCTGCTCTCGATCCCGAGGAACCGACGGCGGGCTTGGGCGGGTTACTGAGCTGGGGCTGTCCGCGCATGGCAAGAGATCCGCTGTATGACGCCCTGTTTGGTCGGACGAGTCTGGGGAATGGCTGAACGGCTCCAGGGACGCTGCATTAGCGTGTCGCCGACAGAGGGGAATCGCCCCACGTGCCGTGTCAAAATGCGGGTTGAACCTGACTCGGCCTTGGAGCTATGGAAGCATGCATAGCATTGCAGGATGCATTTGGTATATCCGGCAGCTGGTCAAACTGGTTGGCAGAATATAGGTGTTAACTCCAACGGGGATAAAAGTTTCTAGACGAAATAGAAGGCTTGTAGCTTTGCATTGCCTTGTCCAGGATGATTCTATCTGATTTGCATATTAAAGTTTCCAAAACTATCAAGGCTATGTGATGTCTGAAACCCCTGACCCGCTATACAACTGCTAGTTGGAGTAGCTCTTCTCACAGCCATATGACGTAATATTCGACTGCAGCAGTCTTGCACTATAACCCTGCCACACCAAAAGGACATTTTGTATATCATGAATGATGCTAAATAGGGGTCGATTTATTCTACATCAACCCAGAGCTGGAGCTGGTCACCGCCAGTCTGCTTGTTTGTTCCAAGTATACAGACGTGTGTGTGTATTGGGTCCTCTGTGGAGTTCATGCACTGTCTAGGAGTTACCCTCGAGTCCGCCAAGCTGTCTCCCTACCAATGATTCACTACTATGCGTTCAGGACACAATTAGATCAAGGCCACGATCTTCGTTGTAGAGCATCAGAGGGTCGTTGCTGATCAAAATTTGGCTGAGGCTAGAAAGAGTGATACTGCACTTATGCAACCAGTGTATACGAAGTCAGTTTTCAGGACTCGACGACAGTAATGAATATACTAGTCGTCAACTGGTCAATCTATAGTGTAAGACGCCGTATGTAACCTGGTCAAGTAGGATAGCATCTGCCGTTTGCCTAGCTATACTCAATATAACTACGATCTCATCACAGAATTGATTCCTTTTTTACTTCCAAAGAATCATTCATCTCTCCCTAAGATGCAATGGATGTCCAAGGCCACAGACTTGTGCCTTTTCCAGGTGCGACGACTGTCTGATGGCCAGGTTCAAGCACTTCAACAATTTTGTGTCTTATTTTGAAGTTGTCGAGATCATCAAATTCTGAGGACAAACAATTCAAAGTACGGGACACCATGCTCATTGTCTCGACATTCTGAAGTTATCCGGACGATG